ATTGTACAGATATAGGCGTGTTGTTCTCCCATCCACTGGTGATACCGGGCTACATGTCATTTTGTAAACTAAAACATTGTTCAGATATAGGCGTGTTGTTCTCCCATCCACCGGTGATACCGGGCTACATGTCAGTTTGTAAACTAAGGCATTGCACAGATATAGGCGTGCTGTTCCCCCATTCACTGGTGATACCAGGCTGCGTGCCAGTGTCGGCTAAATAAAATGGGTTATGAAATTTAACGAACAATCACCAAAGAAAACATCCGAGGTTGCGTGTTGATACTCACTTTGCACTGTTTTGATATCTTTAAGTCTAGTTTATTGATTACAATGCGATAATTATTCTTGTAATAATGATGCATCGGTAGCTTTTCCCTCAAATAAAAATCAAATGCGCATGCGTGTCCGCCGCACCGTTTTCGCAGGCAATTTAATATCTACCCAATATGTGTAAGTTTGTTCTGTATGTCCTTGTTACATAACATTTGCTTTTGTAGTCGTAATGATAATTTGGCCAAAAGTTATACAAGGACAAATTGGTTGGATGTAGCATTTTGTATTTAAATCTGAGCAAACCTCGGTTTTCACACAAAACTTTGTACGTTTTTATACTAGTTCTTTCATTATTGATGATAAATATACATCTGTTTGTTTGTGTTAGTTGTAGGTCACCTGGCCTTGACACAGGTAAGTGATTACTTTGTTTACATAAAAGACTCCAAATTAACACTAGTATAAATATATCATGGTGTAGGTTGTCTATATTAACAGGATAACGATGGCGTTATGACGTGACTGTTAAGTAGCTTTATAAAATCAAATTGGTTTGATACAATGCCGCTCAGGTTTACAAGCCATTTTGTTGGTTCTGATACAATCCTACTTTGGTTGATATGTCATTTAAGTTGTTCTAATTCTATCCTATTCTGGTTAACATGACATCGTAAGTGTTCTGATTCTATACCACTCTGGTTAACAGGACATTGTCGTAAGTGTTCTGATTCCATCCCCCTCTGGTTAACATGACATTGCAAGTGTTCTGATTCTATCCCATTCTGGTTAACATGACATCGTAAGTGTTCTGATTCTATCCCCCTTTGGTTAAATTGACATCGTCGTAAGTGTTCTGATTCTAACCCACTCTGGTTTACATGACATCGTAAGTGTTCTAATTATATCCTACTCTGGTTAACATGACATTGCAAGTGTTCTGATTCTATCCCATTTTGGTTAACATGACATCGTAAGTGTTCTAATTATATCCTACTCTGGTTAACATGACATCGTAAGTGTTCTGATTCTATCCCATTCTGGTTTACATGACATCGTAAATGTTCTGATTCTATCCCCCTTTGGTTAAATGGACATCGTCGTAAGTGTTCTGATTCTATCCCACTCTGGTTTACATGACATACAGTGTAGTAAGTGTTCTGATTATGTCCTACTCTGGTTAACATGACATCGTAAGTGTTCTGATTCTATCCTACTCTGGTTAACATGACATTGTAAGTGTTCTGATTCTATCCCANTATTTTTATAGTTCTGTTACAACCCCGCTCTAGTAAACATGACATTTTTATAGTTCTGATACAACCCCGCTCTGGTAAACATAACATTTTTGTTGTTCTGATACAGCCCCGCTCTGGTAAACATAACATTTTTGTAGTTCTGATACAACCCCGCTTTAGTAAACATGACATTTTTATAGTTCTGATACAACCCCGCTCTAGTAAACATGACATTTTTGTTGTTCTGATACAACCCCGCTCTGGTAAACATGACATTTTTTATAGTTCTGATACAATCCCGCTCTAGTAAACATAACATTTTTGTAGTTCTGATACAACCCCGCTCTGGTAAACATGACATTTTTATAGTTCTGATACAACCCCGCTCTAGTAAACATGACATTTTT